GCAGCTTCCTACAGGGCGGGGCCATGATGCAGGTGAAAGCCGGTGTGTAAATGACAAATAAGGCTTGGGCGCCACCTGGGCGGTAAGTCGTCAAGTATTTACCGCCCGACGAGAAAATTTTGCCCCATTGGCGCTCGGGCGCTTAAAGGTCCACCCCTGTAATGATAGAGACGTGCATATTCTCCACAGTTTAACTAGTAAAAAATACACCATTACCTGTGATACCTTCTTGGAGGAGGTAAAAACAACAGAAACTATGCAACAAACCTTTACATGCTGACGTGTTATTGTGTAAACTGGTGAAATCACACGTGATGTTTAAACTCTCTTGTGACTTCATGATCTTGCAGGACTACAGGTTGTCAGGTGAGTTAAAAGAACAAAATTTCATGTGTCTATCACATAAAAATAATGTGTTGTCAATAGGGCTGCTCGATTATGGCAAAAATAATCACGATTTTTGTGACTGAAATTGAGATCACGATTATTTAGGACGATTTTTCAATTTATGATGATTTTATTTGTTTTTATTCAGTCATAAAATTGCTCAGGGCACAATTAGGACAAAAATAAGAAACAAGATGATCACTAAAATAACTCCTGATTCCCAGTATAAAAAGACCAATATACTTATAGCTCATAGTCTATGACCCAAGGGCTATAGACCTTGGTTTAACTCATTTAAGTCTAACCAGTACAGAACCAAATACCAATATCTTGCAAATACTGACAGCAAGAATTATACAGTGGCATTTATAACAAATAAATGCAAATAAATTGATGTTCACAAAATGTTGCATAACATTTATTGAGTCGTGTCAAGGTGCTGTAGGAGCACCGTGTCCTCAGAGAGATTAGTTATTAGTTATCAGCGTGAGGAACTTATTTCCACCTTATTTATAAACTATTTATTTACAAGTCCATCAGTTAATGTAATAATTGTCCCAACCACAGCTGCACCCCCCACCCCCCAACCCGGTCTCACAGCAATCGGGCAAGCTGCACGTGTGTTTAGCGCGCTGCACGCGCACATTTAGCTGTTTTTAGCTGCTCAGGAGTCCGCAGGTGCGGTGTGTGTGTCACTCACTCTGGTTAATCCAACAAGGAGCCGGCTCCGAGAGCTGTCTTTAGCGACCGACACATCACTACATCATTCCCTTTCCTAATGTTGTGAAGAACGGTCCGGAGCTCAGGCGGAGTGTTTAGCTAACCTGCAGGAAATGTCGACGACCGTTATCCAGAAAGTAGCTAAGGGTTACCAGAGATGTTTCTGAGATGTTCGCTAGGTACTTTTAGGATTAAAAAGTCAAGAAGGGGGTCTGAAAAGCTGCTAGAAATAGCGTCAAAGTCGCTAAGTTGGCAACACTATGGAGGAGCGCTTCATTTGCAACTCAGGGCAGCGCAAGCGGGAGGAGCAAATAATCGGCTTGTTTTGTTTTTATAATCGTTCAAAACTCAGATCGTAATCGTGATTAAAATTCGATTAATTGAGCAGCCCTAGTTGTCAATGTGCAAACAACATGCAAAAAATATATACTTTACGTGTGAGGAGTCCTCTTGTATTCAGCTCGTAAACAACATGAAAATAACACGTAAACAATGCACAAACATGCAAAGGTAATAGGGCTGAATGATTTAGGAACGTAATCAAATTGCAGTTTTTTTTTCTCTTCAATATTGCAATTGCGATTTAATTCACGGTTATTTTCTCAAGAGGCTTTTCTCATATTTTTCAACCAGCGGAAGCAAAAAAATCTATGTAACTTGTACTGAATATAAACAAGTTTATATATCTACATAATTATGTACATATAATATCTACAAGTTTATTTGTCTACACATACATGAACACTCACAAGTAAATACAAAATTTTGTATTTGAAGGTGCAATGCTTTGCAGCCAGGAGCACATCCCCTGAAGGAGCATATGTAGCAACAGCTGTGAAATTTTATTTACAGGAAAGAGGCGTGTCCCATTTGTTGAAGTATTTTGTGTTTAGAGTTTTCGACGTCTTGTCCATGCAGAGCTTCCGTAGTTCAGTTACGTTCATAGCTGCTAGCCAAACCTCTGTGTAGTTAAAGTGCGGTTTTCTGGCTTTATGAAAATATCTGTCAGTACTTATTTAATTTATGACAGCTTTTACTTTCTATTAGACTCCAAATGTAATCATTTGGCACGTTTCTAACTCGTAATTTGTAAGAATGTCATCGGCGATATTAGCATTAGCATCTCTATGGACTTTTTCATGTATATTAGCATTGTGCTAACCACTCGCTGCCAGTCAAATTGTAGCCTTTGCGATGAGAAAATCTCCTTTTGTCACATTGCAATTTAATTGCATAAGCAATTAATCGTTCAGCCCTAATAGGTAACGTGGGGTACACACATACCATTTGCCCATTTTTGGCGTTCCATAAGGGACCAGCTGCGTGGAACATATTCACAGCCAGTGCAAGTCTGAAATAGCCTAGAAATGTAGACGGATAGTGATAGAAGCTAAATTATTTTGCTCTACATGTCGTTCTAGTCACACTCCATAGATCCGAACAGTCTTGTGGCTTGCCAGTCAGAGCTCAATCGTTTTGGTGGGCCAATCACAGCGCTCTTTCGGTTTGGTGGGCAGGACGATGCAACAAATTGGAGCAATTAAGATAAATGACCTGCACTTGTATAGCGCCTCTCAGAGTAAGGACTCCAAAGTGCTTTACACTACAGTGTATCATTCATCCATTCACACACTGATGGTGATGAGCTACAATGTAGCCACAGTTGCCCTGGGGCGCACTGACAGAGGCGAGGCTGCCGAGCACAGGCACCACAGGACCCTCCGACCACCATTAGCAGGCAAGGTGGGTTAAGTGTCTTGCCCAAGGACACAACAGCAGAATTATCTGTCCGGAGCCGGGATCGAACCTGCAACCATCCGATTACTGGACAACCCGCTCAACCTGTTGAGCTACTGCTGCCCCTAAGATGGTGATGGCTCATTTGAAACGGCTTTAGCATCGACTTTGGACTATTTAGACTTGTGCTTTTCTTTGAGTCAAGGGAAGATAGAGGTACTACATTCCTTTGTTTAGAAAAATTAGGTATTTGTGTCTTCTTCAACAGTGTATGGTGGACTGCTCTGTTGATTGTCAGAGGTGAGTATGTAACAATGTTCATTGTCCAATAGCATGCAGAGACAGTTTGAAAGACAACCACAGATTTCACCCTATAGATGATCTCTCTCTCTGAGTTGTGGCCAGACTATATATTCACATATATAGGGTGGCTTGCCAGGCTATTTCTGAAACAGTCCAGGTAAGAAGGGATGCGCCGCTGAAGTCTCATGAAAATGCTTCAGCTACATACAGGAAAAGCCTGGGTTGGTTAAAACAAAAAGTTGGTTTACATTTCTGTCAAAGAAAGAGTAAATGCCAAACATTGTAAGAAATATTCACAGAAATTTAAAAAAAAAAACAACAATTTGACGTTTTAATCCAGATCCCAAAAAATCTGAGCAGTAAACAAGTTGATAGCTATGAACTTCTGACCTGCGCTGCACCAAAAACAGAGATGACTCTGGAGTTTGAAATAATAAACACGACTTAGTTTCAGAAATAATAACAGTAAACTGGTTAACGCCAAACAAATGACAAGAACACACTTACATCCTCTGAAATAAAGAAATGAAATTAGCAGGAAAAGTCAGTTTTGTGTAAAGAATCAAAGTTTCAAACACCCAGCTTGTTATCAGGAGGGCATTTCCAACACAAACATCTGTGCAAATGCAGATCCTTGCCGCTAATGTTGCACAATATCTACAGTTCTAGCGCCATATGCTGCCATCTAAGCAGGATCCTTTAAGAACCCGCTTAGTTCAGCAAGATAAACTTCAAACCTCATCAACATGTATTAAGAGTCGAAAAGTGTGTGTGCTGATCTGCAGTTCAGACTTCCACACACAGTGGATAACATTTGCCCACAAAGTCACATGTTTTACTGAGATCAATACAATGCATTGCTTAATTTCCTGCAATCTTTAAATGGGTTATTGGTTTCAGATTTTTTTCAAAACTGTAAGAGGATGATTACGCAGGAGTGTGTGAATGGATGAATGATACACTGTAGTGTAAAGCGCTTTGGAGTCCTTACTCTGAGAGGCGCTATACAAGTGCGGGTCATTTATCATTACGCAGGAGGAGGATTGTGTTTGGGATCTGACTTGAGACAGGACAGCAGCTCGTGTTTGGGGGAGGGTTATGAATGCTGTCTTGTCTGTGTTGGAGTGCAGGCTCTTATCTCCCTAGTCTGGGCTGTATGGTACTCAGGGCGGATGTGCTCATCCCTCAGGAATAGTCTGGTATTGTTAGCTGGTGAAGGAGGCCCAGTCATGACGGCAAACAAAAGAACACACACACACACACACACACACACACACACACACACACACACACACACACACACACACACACACACACACACACACACACACACACACACACACACACACACACACACTTCAGGATAAAAATATGCACTGTGTCAACAGAACTCGCATGTGTGTTTTAGAGAGTGAGTGAATCACACCTTGGTTAAAATGGCTTTAAATTATTGACCTATAAGGCATCATTTAACCTAGAAATAATTTCCTGGTTTAATAAATACTTTTAGAACAAAAGTGTCTTTACACAGAAAGGGGTCAAAGTTCATACCTGTCTCTTTGACTATTTGAAAACAACTTATTGTTTGTTTTATTCAGTTTCCCACCATGAATGATACAAAACATCTGACCTCTGTAATTGAGAAATAAACTGATGTTTACCTTATCAGCAGTAATGTTGTTGCTCTATACCTCATCTAGTTGATTAATCAATAAAATCAAAGTGTTGATCAATATCAAATGTAATGATCCTTTATTATAAATGATCTGATGACTTTTACAGGTTTAACCTACTTTTTCTGATAAATAAACGTCACTGTGACCTGATAAAGCATGAGTGAACTTTGTTCCTACCTTCAGTATATTTTCATAGATAGTGTCCCGAAAGTCCAGGAGCGCTTTCTGATCAAACTCTTGTCCGTTAATGATGCGCATCTGCTTCAGGAATGTGGACTTTCCGCTCTCTCCGGCCCCGAGGAGGAGGATCTTCACCAGACGCCTCACGGCTCTCCTCTCCCGGGCCAGCATGGCGTCTATCTCCCGGCTCCTGCGCCTCGCCTCCCGCTCCTGCGCCGCGTCCCTCTGCCGGCTCCCCTCCTTGCTGCCGCCCGGGTCCCGGCTGGCCTCGGCCGGGAGCAGGCAGCGGCTCAGGGTGCGGACCACTCCCGACATGGCGAGTCGTGAGAAAGGAAAAAAGTTTACCGAAACTCCAGTGGGAAAATGTTCATTCTAGACTCGTGACCTCTGGGGTGGAAACGGCCCAGTTCGGCTACATCCAGCGGGTTGTAATGTTACATTAAACCTTTATCTAGACTCCCCCCGGCAGACAGCCCGTGTCCATCTTGGTTAGACCGCTCCATCAACAGGAAAACAACTCTCTAGCTGGAGAAACTAATCCTTGAACGCTTAAAAGTCCAAATTAGGGACAGAAAATGTGGTTTAAACTGACCTGAAGTTAGTGTATCCATGCAAAGAAAAACAATGCTTCAGGCAGGGAAATCTCACAGTGGGACAGCCTAACTACCCAAGCATCCAGCGGTTTGTGAACTAAGAGCAGCCCCCCCGCGGGCGGCAGGGGACGGTCACAGGACGAGGGGGCGCCGGAGGAGTACCGGAGCTCACCGACAGGGGGCGCCAGCGGAAACAATGAGCAGTGTAAATGAAGGGATTTTAGTGGTTCTGTTGATTTTGTTTACTAGTAATGATAAAGTTCCATTTTTATAGAGCACCTTTAACAGCGAATTAACAAGTAGAATTTACTTATGGAAAAAATGAGACAGTGGCGTGAGAAGCATGAACATCTTTAAAAAAATACTGGTGCAATACAAAAATTAGAAGATGGTGCAAAAGTTCTTTTATGTTTTTAAATTAAACTTAAAACGTGAAACTGATACAGGAGACAGACTCATTCCATGCAAAGCCAGATATTTCAAGCCTTTATATGTTATAATTGTGATGATTACGGCTTACAGCTTATGAAAACTCCACATTCAAATTCTTACACATAATATTGTAAAAGGTTCAATATTCTAGACTCAAAGTGCCGCTCACTAATCAGCTAATGAATCCAAACACCTGCAAAGGGTTCCCGAGCCTTTAGATGGTTGCTTCATTTAAACTGGATTACTGGATGAATGGACTTTGGCACCTTATTCTAATTTTCAAGTTTCAGTTGTAGACCAGAAATCTTTGTATTTGTCTGTTGTAGAAACGTGAACCCACGATGTCATGTTTACATATGCTGCCTTGTTGGATATTTGGAACCTGACTCTGAACACACAGGATCTCATGGTGAAGATGCTACATCACCTCAAAATGAAGTAGTGCATTATTCCTGCAGCATTTATATATGCAGCATAATTCTGATTTTGTTTGCTATGTTTAAGTGATGTTTGAAATGCAAAACACTGCAGCATACTATAGTGTGCATGTGTGAGTGAGTGAACCAGTGACTATTTTGCACACAGCTAAAGTTAATCTATGAAGCCACTGCTTCAAGTCATAAGTTTAGACTTTTTAAAAGTTAGCCTACATTGTTTCTCTTTGCATTTTGTGAAAGAAGAGCTATACTATCCTTAGTTGCTTCAGACAGTGCAGTGATTGAGGATTTGCATTATCACACTGAGATACCAGTGTTTTTCAGTATAAGCCATGTGGTCATCCAACATGTTATTGCATGGTTGGGACTGCATGATGAGTGCACAAATCTTTGTTGGATTGGCTCTTTAAATGTTTTAGCTTTCTTTAAATGACCTTAAAACCTGACCAAACACTGCATTATTGTATGATAGGCCGCTAAGACGAGGAGCATGTATGAAGGGAGGGGCGATTACAAGGTGAAAAGAGCTGGGCTGATTCAAAGAAAGCCAGCGCAGGTGTGAAAAATCAGCTGCAAACTGCAGAGGCTACAGAAAATGAAACACGGAGAAAAAGGATGCATTGAAAATAATAAACTAAATACATAAAATCTGAAGAGCCACTTTAATCCTCAGAAACAGTGACAGTAACTTTCAAAAATAATAGAAACTAAAGCAAAAACCTTTTCCCAACAGAAATGATCGTAAAAGAACAAAAAACAGGTATTACATCATCTAAATTATTGTAACACATTTCTATAAATCATTGTGTAATTTAGTAAAATACAGATCATTTACCGTTTACCAAAATCACACCTTTTTTTTTCGCTCCTCAGAACTTCACACGAGACATCGACACATCCCGGTCTGCAAGTTGCTGACGTACATTAAAGCCTTATTGTCTCTGTAAAATGTTCCCTCTGAAATAATGAGAATGAAAACCTGTTGGCTGTAAACGTCAAAAATGATTGTAGAACAGAAAGTGAATCATCATGAATTGCTGTGGAAGCTTAAATTTCTTGCCGTACTTCTATTCTACATTTGCTTCAGGGACACCCTGGTCTGGATTTTAGAATTCCCTTTGCATTCATTAAAACAGGCTCATCATTAAGTTTCCTGACGGGACACACTCTCAGATGTGACCTAAAATGCTCAAAGGATCTTCTCACAAAATTAGCTCTGTCGTTTTTATTCATCATATTTCACTCAAGATAAGGTTAATCAAGCTTTGTGTTGTTTCTGTCTAAAAGGTATTGAACAAATACTTTCTGTAACTACTGTTGTTGTAAATGTGTATTGATCTTTATTTCATTTTTCTCTGTGTTCCAGTAAAAGCACATGTGCACTACTTTAATCAAGCTAATATGCACTCTCTTCACCATTCATGGGCACTTTGAGGATTTCAATAATTTATCCACAACACATTTGATTAAAATACTTTGCCCAAAGCCTTAAAACCAATCTGAATAGCAAAGGCAGGAAATGATCTTGCCCTAAACTTTTCTGTATGTCAAGACCGTATGATTGAAAACACAAATTAGAATTAGATTACCGTACGAATTTGTAACTTGTAAGCACTGCATTAATTTATGTGTCTAAGGTTTTAAAGGTATCTTAGAAATAGTTTATTTATTTATTGCAATTGGAAACTGTTCTGTGAGCCTCTACGGCATAACTTTGTTGGAGCTCACAATTGCCCAGGAGCCCTGATAAACAACCAAAATTAACCACATAATAAAGCTAAACAATGTAAAAGCTGGTTCTTCACATCCACTCGGCCAAGGACTAAGGATTAAGGATAGCCTTATTTGTATAAGAACAGCCATTCCAAGATCAAACACACAGACAGGAAAACTGTTTTACTGTGGGCATGGGAGTAAAACAGCCCCTTCCCAACAAGAGTTGGGGTTCAGGAAGAACACCTCAAACATAAAAGCACAAATTCAGACAGTAACAACATAAATCCACGAGTAGTGGGTGGGTGGGGATCCTGATTTCACCGGGAGAGGTTGCACTGATCTAGCGTGTGAAATGAAGAACATGTTGCGGTGCAGGTTTGTGTTCAAATGAGGAAACGCACAAGGACCACAAACTGTGGATCTAGCTGACATTCATTCATAGTCTGGATAATTCTCAATTTATCCAGGATGGGCATCGCACCCGCGGGGGATGTGGGGGATTCAACACCCACACTTTCCAGCCGTTTTGCTCACCTCCACACCAGTCTGGTTTCTCGCACTCACTCTGTTTGCCTCATCTCCTTCTTCGCCTCCCTCTTCTGTTTCTCCTTGAAACCCGACAGCCGATGTCGGGTTTCAAGGAGAAACAGGAGAGGGAGGGAGGGAAGAGTTCGACTGAATTCATAATTTTACATCTTGACATTAGCTACAAACTCTCAGTTTGGTAAAGTGAAGAACAACAAATTGCAGAGGTTTATAACAGGCGCAGCGTCAGGTTTTCATTTTTGGGTGGGCCACAGTCATTTTGGACGGACCTTAAGAAGCAGTGACTTGAAGCAGGCAGGTCGCGCTAGAAAATTTAGTTTAAAAAGACGGCATAAATTTCCCCCCTGTCATTTCTATTTCTAAAATATGAAGTAAAAACTCCCAAGTTAATTTTCATTCATTTTTCATTTATAGGCACCAGAATGCATTACCTGCACTTCTGATATTTACCTCTCAACGCAGGACTCTTTCATAAGGGTACATGCACACCGGTTGTTCATACGGTTATTCATGGGGCAAAATCTCTGACATTGTTGAAAAAAAAATCCATCTTCCAGTAAAAGCAAAGCATGCAGCCCACCTCTCCAAATGCGTAAAATGTGCATCACAGCCGCTAGGCGCGCCACACGCACCGTCAGCTACGTCAGCCCAGAAAAGAGTAGAGCAACTAGAGAAAGAATAGAGGATAATTCTGTCTGGATGTGGATGGAGATTACATTTTACAGCAGCCTGATCATCATTTAAATACGTAAACCATCACCTGTCTTCTAGTCCATGCTATCAGCATTATTTTAATTGGTGTGTGTGTGTGCGCAGTGGCACAGTGGTTAGAGCTGTTGCCTTGTAGCAAGAAGGTCCTGGGTTCACTTCCAGGCCTGGGATCTTTCTGCATGGAGTTAGCATGTTCTCCCTGTGCATGTGTGGGTTCTCTCCGGGCACCCCGGCTTCCTCCCACAGTCCAAAAACATGACGGTCTGTCTAAATTGTCCTTGTGTGTGTGTGTGTGTGTGTGTGTGTGTGTGTGTGTGTGTGTGTGTGTGTGTGTGTGTGTGTGTGTGCATGATTGTTTGTCCTGTGTGTCTCTGTGTTGCCCTGCAATGGACTGGCTCTCTGTCCAGGGTGTACCCCGCCTACTTGCCCGTTGACCGCTGGAGATAGGCACCAGCCCCCCCGCGACCCTATAAGCGGGTTCAGAAGATGGATGGATGGATGGTGTGTGTGTGTGTGTTTTCCACTTCAAACACTGGTCTAACCAACCAGACCAGCATGTCCAGTAACATATTAATGTTACAATTAAACAGTTTCACTTCATGTAGGCTAGGAACATTTCACCTGCCGTGGCCCGACCGCTTCTGCTCCACATAAACTTTGTGCGTGATCAAATGTCTCTACAGGAGCTTTCTGAGCTGAAGAGGCTATTCTGCCTCAGACTGGATGCGTCATGCGTCTCCATATTAGAGACGGGAACAAGCGCTGTTCAGCTAAAGTTTCATAATCAGAGAACATTTTTCCAAGTGACACATCCCTCAGAGAGACTGGGTTTCCAGACCGTTTCAGTGGGATGAAATCTTATCGCATGCACCGTGGTTCTGCGCTGCGCTGCGAACCCCTCTACAGATCTTCAGCTCACTGTCCACCGTGTGCGCTTCGAGCCGCGCTGAACACATGTCCAGTATAAAGCTCTGATGTTCTGATGGGAATCATTTCTTGATTGATTTAGTTACCTCTGCGATGTGCTTAACGATTAAAATGTCAGCTCATCCATGCGCATCAGTGTGTGTCGGGGTAATTCTTTCAAAACAGACTGTTGCAAAGAGAAACAATTAAACTTGATTAACCCCAGAGCCATGCACACTGCGCTGTACTGACTGTAAATGAGGGGGAAACGATTTAATCTGATCCTTTTCTTTTCAACATGGTTTAATGTAGTTCCATTCAGTACAAACTTTAGTTACACCAATCTAATGAGACAGAG